ATAATCTTTATTACTTATGGTATAATTAATTATTCGGACTATTATTCTCGTCTTTATTATGTGTATTAATATTTTCACAACGTTTCGACCAGTGAATTCTCCCGCCCGTTGCCACTTGTATATCAAACATTTTTGTATGTGTTACAACCAGAAAGCTTTCTTTGTGGAATTACCTGGATTCGAACCCCGGACCTATGATTCCGAATAGAGGCACTCTAACCACTTGGATATTAGGTTTTAGCTTTCACCTAGAACTACACTAGCTACGTAAGAAAAAACAAAGGTTAGTAAGCAACTCACTTGAGCGCCTGTTTACCTCCAACCAAGTCACTGTGAAAAATAATATAAATTATAAAATTTTTATATTTCAACTAGAGGGGAGTAAAACATAGTATTACGTGTACTGTCTGTTCCCAGACATGGTACATTATGATAATTTGAGATTATTGCAAATATAGATTTGCTATAAAATTATGTGTACAGAAGAAGACCTTTCGCGCATGTCACGATATTTTACAGTACTGCAATCAAAATTTAATTCAACAACTACCATCAACGTATGTTAATAAAATTGGAATGAAAACAGTTTGGAACGCAAATTTTGTGCCATTTGACAGTCTGAGCTTTGATTTCTCAGCTTCAGAATTTTTCTTACATAAAAAAATGGCGGCTTCAGTTTCCAACATACACTATACATAATTACCCACAAGAATCAAAATTTTGTACCTCCCACCTTATTGATTTGTCAATATGTTCATTAAACATACCAGAGAAGACCCCCCTTTTTTTACTTTATAGATTATTTGCTAATCAACCTTATATGGATGTTGGACATCCTTATAACCAACAGAAAGAACAGATTCTCCTCTTCATGAAGATTAGTATCGTTTTCTCGCGGATATTATTTAATTGATAGTAATTGCTGCTCTAGATGACCGAAGGAATTTTTTCTAACATGTTTATAGCTTACTTAGAAAGCTACATAAATTAGAGTCATTTTAGGATACATTGTTCCAGTGACTGATAAGTTTTGTGTTCTAACATGCATATTTGAAAGTTACATCAATTTTGTTTTGAAAATCCAAGTTTGAGATTTAACAGGGCTTAGGGAAGAATGAATTTGAGTTCAAAAATGTGAGTATACCAAATCCTTATTTTTAGGTATATTTTTCAATTATTGTTTTTTTTAAGAAAAGTAACTAAAATGTAAAAGTTATAAACTTTTCAGCTTAAAAAACTTCAATAAAATAAAACACCAAACATTTCCCAAGCTCGAGGCATAAGCAAGCTGTTATGTTTCACTGTACCATCACATGCTGAAAACAGCTAATGGCTCCCACTGTCATTTACTACAAGAAAATTACACTGCAGTAGGTGAAGAGATTAACAACTGCAACTGTTAACTTTCTGAACAATACTGAAGTCAGTTGATAGCAAAGGATGGTATTACTCCTTTTATTTCATACTGGTTAACAGTACACGGATGATTTCTTAACACACCCGTGAATCAAGTAGGTAGGTTGGTAATGTTAGGATAGAGAGAGAGAAAAAAAAAGAGTTAAGATATAAAATTTTATATAGAAAACTTTTGGTATCCGTTAAAAAGGTTTTATAGGTTATGCAAATGTAATACAAAAACTGCAAAATCAAAAGTGTTTTTTTCGTACCAAAAAAAAATCACCTTTTACTCAAATTGACTCGGTAAAGTATTTGGAAATTCATGGAAATTGTTAGTGGAATTATTTTACCAACAATTCTGGTTTTTATGTACAACAGACAAATATTTACTTGCAGAATTAAATACACTAAGAGCTATCAAATAAAGGTGTCACATAATACGTTTGTCTTTTCCTTAAACTATTGTTTGTGTTGGAAGTAAAGATTGCTTCATTATGTACAGTCTCTTTCTTTCCTCCGATCAAAGTTGTAGAGTTCGGATTTCACTATATTATTGTTTTCAGTCAAAACCTCTTATTATTCTTACCAATTACTCTTAAGATGAAGTCAATGTAACTAAGAATAACACACATCAGATTTGCTTTTGTAGAATGTTTTCCTCCTGATGAGGGTAGTTGCCTGTGTTGTCTTATTAAATTGGAGCTTTGAATTTGAGGAAATGGCACTTCCCACACATCAAAGGAAGAAGAATTCAGCATTGAGGAGAAATGGTCATCAGAGAGCATTGGTATATATAGAAAAAGTCATCTCTTGGACTTTTGCAAATGCTGCAAAGGTCCGTGACAACTTTCTCACTGCAGCTGTAGACCCAGGAATGAGAACTAAAATAATTTTATGCACCCAGAGCAGCCAATTAGGATCTACTACTTAGTCAGAATGACATTGAAAAAAGTTTTATGCAAAAAAACACATTGATATAATTATGCATTTTAGATATCCGTAAAATTTTGAAAATAATTTTACACACTACATAAACTTTTACTGGAAAGAAAATAAGCTTTATATGGTATCCACTGGAGATGATATTGTCTGATGTGCCACACTAAGTACAAGTGAATCAGCGTGGCATGGGCCGTTTGTTCAGTTTCGCATTCAGGTTTCTTTCCAGTGGACTTTTCTGGAAAGTATTTTAGTGCAAAGTGATATTTATTCCCAGGTGGCAGTAGTCATAGTGCACAAAAGGATTGGGCAGCCCTGCCCACCATAGCTACAACAACTCTGTATGTGATAATTCGAATTACTACAGTAAAAGCTACAGAAAGTGTAAAATTGCCAAACTATCACTCCTATTAATAACACACAGTGTGTTCAACAGATTGCTTTGGCCACACGATACAATACTGCGTGTTTTGATGTGAGCCGACAAATATCTTTTGACCAGGACAATAGTTTTTGTGTTGTTTCTAAAGGAAATTTTAGGAGAGATGATTGTTGTAACTTTAACCTACACTTTTAACCAATCATAATTTCATTAACATCACATTCTAATTCTGACTTTATTTGTTAAAGGTCAAGTTCTGAACCCTTTTGCCTATCTTGTTCCCACACAGCCTTTATGTGATTTTTAGACTTGTTCTCAGATCCAAATGCTACTGCTTAGTATGGAGAGTGAAAATGCTGTAAATTATTTGTTTGGGCACTTTTCAGACATCTCTGATTACTCCATGGAGCCTAAGACTCCAGGAGCTCAGCTGATGTTCAGCCAAGTAGAATGAGGTCCAATGAAATAAGACGTGTTGCTTGCCATCTTGACAGGCATGCAGATAGTGAACAGGTTAGCTGTGAAGTCTCCAGGGAACCAAAGCTGAAAGACCACCAAGAATCACCAGTGATAACAGCAATATCCAGAAAATGAGTTGTCAACCACCAACTCCACTCCAATACACTCCAGTCTACCAACAGCCTACTCCAACCCCGTCAAATTGGAGGTGGTTGATTCTTCAGAGACTCATCCCCAGATACTAAAGTGTCCCATAGGCAGGTGCCAAGTGGGAAAAACTTCACCAGTGAACAATGTGCATACATCTGCAACTAGAGCACTATACTTGTAAAAATCTTATTATTCTACCTATCTAATTACTCAAAAACAACAGGTTTTAGTACCTTCTACACCATTGTTACTCTTGAAGATATGTCTTTCAAAATTTTCAAATCTTTTTGCAATTTTGTTAAATTAATGCTTTGTGTTAGTAAATACACATTTCTATAATAATGTTAGTTTTCTAAAATCATTGCTTCATAATCAATTTTTCACAAACTACAATTTTTTAAATTGGGATTATGGTGTAACTGCTAAGAGCAAGAGTATCCAATTTATGAAACTATGCATTCTAATCAAGAATGTAAAACGAACAGCATATTTACCTAGCTTTACTTATTATGACTTGAATTTTAATGATTATCTGTCCAACATACTTACTGATGGATTGTAGTGCTGTTTCTGCTAAAATACTCATTTTCTGTTGTTTACATTAAGAAGACACATGAAACTGACATGGCATGGGATACAAACACATGTCAATGATCTATCAGGATCAAATGAAAATGTACAACCATTTCTTTTATGTCTTGCACAACATACAGAATCAACATAATTCCTCACCAGATATGTGGTACAAATGAAACATTTATTTTAAATAAAATATTTTACACACCTATTAATATAGAACTTAAATGATACAAACAACTACAAGAATCAATTGCTCTACCAACAAATGGGTTATAATACTTGTCTTTGGCAAAACTTAAAATTTACTGAAATCAGGATTATATACCACTAAGTGTAAAGTGTGTGTATTTTTGCACTTCTAAGAAGTAAGGACATTTAAATTGGTAAATAACGAGCATACTGCCAATTCAAAGTGTTTCTGGTTTGCTTTCTTACTTGCGTAAGTAGAATTTTTACTTTGTACTAATTATTTTTTAGATTATGAAATCCTGATTAAGTTATAAAAAATGACTATTCAATAATGTAGCTATGAAAAGCCACGATGCAGGTGTCTTTTTCATAACTATTTTTGAATAGTGTTGCAACTTGAATACCATACACAAAGTAGTGAAGATGATCCTCTGTGCCAAGTACCTTAATAAGTTAAAGACTGTTTGTAGACTAACTGATCTTAACAGATAATGATTTATGGTTTCATGACCCAATTAACATTATTTCAGCTTTCTGAAGAAGTTGTCCCCAGTGTAATGCAGCTTCAGGGAAAATAAAAACATAAGAAAAGTGTGTCACTACAATGTATGGACCTAATGTACATATATCAACTAATACTTCAACACTGGGTTAGGTGAGACCTTTACCAAATATCATGCTTGCCACAAACACACAAATATTTTTATAAGAGCAGTAAAGTTTGTGAAATAATATTTTAGGAAAGAATAAGAAAATTCAAACTTGCTAGTTCACTACCAGATTATCAAAAGGAAACATATGCCACTAACAAATCTAGTTAGTGACCAAGATAATTAAACTCAATCTTGGTGTGATTTCAATAACTAAAGAAATGCTGTGATTTTGAAAATACGAAATATTCATATGAAAGAAAAGTTAAATTGGAATATTTATTATAATAAAAGGTACATAAACTGCTTTATTTTACTGTGAATTGAGCATATTTCTAACTTACACAATACATTCCAGAAATTCAGCCCAATTCATTCTGATAGTTTAAAAACAATTTATGTGATATACAAAGGCTCTACGATCAAATCGATCTACCGACAAAACTCGGGTATGTGGCAGTCAACACGCCGTCTTTTTCTAGCCTGCATCTGGCTGAAAAACTCCCTGATATCCTCTTCCCTTACAACCTGCAAATTTACAATGTGCAGTTTTAACTGTACAACTGATGAAAATTTAAAGTTATGCTTTTCTGTAACACTGAAAGCAATTTCTAAGTATGAATCTCATACAAAACTCATATTTAATTTCAGTTAGTTTGAATTCATATGAAAACTTATTGTTAAAAATCAGAAAAACATCACTTACTCTTCTACTGCATACATTTCTGACATAAGACTAATTAATACAAGAACAGAAATATTTTGGAATATTTATCTGTAGAAACCTGTAGAAAAGCAATGTACCCACAAACTGTGTGAAATATATTTTTATCAAGTATTTCTTTACTGAAACAAAGACAACACAATGCCGAGATATTTAAGATTATACAAATGTAAGTTATCATTCCACTAACCTTTTTGGAATCAGCAAATTTTTTGAGGTAATCTTTCAACTCACTCTTCATGGTGTTATATTCTAAAAAAGAAGCAATATTTTCACCATACAGAAACATCAACAGTAAAACTATAACACAGTAAATAACCTTATAGTCATAGCTCCTAAATCATTTTAATGAATACAGTTCAATGTTAAATTTGGAAATCTTCATTACACTAAAATGAAGTTATGTTGGTTATTGAAGACTTCTGATTTGATGAGAAAATGTGCAAGTCTGGTAAACCAGATGTTGACTCACATGATCTACAAGATATATTTCACTAACAACAAACACATTGGTAGAGAAAATCATCAAACTGCTGAACCATCTCATCAAGGCCTTAACTCTTTTTTTTGGTCTGGTAGAATGACACCATTAACACATTTGTTTTGTTCTCATACTTCAAATACTTAACTCAATTGGCATAAACTTGGTGTGTATGCGTGTGTGTGTGTGTGTTTTGTTATATCAAAGCTACATCAGGCTATCTGCTCTGTCCACCGAGGGGAATCAAACCCCTGATTTTAGCATTGTAACTCCAAAGACTTACTGATGTCCCACTGAGGGACATGAATTTGGTACTCACTTTGTACGTAATATCTAGTTTATGTTTGAAAAATAATATAATTTGACATTAGTATTTGTACATATTATGTTGTGAATTTCTGAAAATCTTGTCTGAAAAGTTTTTAAAAAATAATAGAAGTCTTACTTTTTGTCTAAGAGTTTCTGTTTTTCTTATTGTGTGCCTAAAATATTATATACGTATCCAACAGAACTGTTTTACCAATAAAACTATAATTTTTGTGTCAGTGTTTTTCTAGTAACAGCATAATTTTTTCATCTAGTTATATAACCCTCTGCACATAGGTAGGGCTCAGAGGGCATGTCATCATGTTTGTAGACTTATACTCAAAATTTTATTTAACTATCATTTTATAAATGTATGTTAATAATTTTGGCATCAAATTATAGATTATAATTCAAATTTTAGTGTTATGCATTAGTTGATTTCTTAAGTTGAAAATAAATATTAAATAAAAGAGGCTAAATATCGATTTTTGTGTGTGTCATGTAGTACGTAGTCTTCTGGGTTCAGTCAGATTACATTTTATGATACCCACAATACACTGTCTATAGTTTCTTATGAATGAAAAACTCAAATTTCCAATATTGGCAAGCTAGAATATAAAATAAGAACCACCCACCATTTCTATTTGATGAGATATCTCAATATTTAACAAATCCACCATACTGGCTCCACCCACCACTTCATCATTTGAGAAGCCTTATCTACTCATTCTTTTGTATACCAATAACTTTATAACCAATCGAAAGCTGTATATTTCTTCTACATATTTCTGTATTACGATCAAGGCTATTTACTGAACAGAAATTTTAGACCAAATACAATGTAGTTAGGAAACCTGGTAAATTACAGTGGATTTTTAGAGTATCCATACAGTAATGTATAATATTTTGGTATTCCAAAATGCTTATATAAAGTCTACAAAAATTATATTTTTCCATCTCCTCATGTAAATTTGGACGAAGCATACGATGAGGGTTAGCAAGTACAACTCACAAGTACAAACAAGTACTTCATAGCATTGTAAGTAGTAGAGATCGTTTTCCAAATATTTTTATTTACTGTTCTACGTTTTAAGAAAATTAACTGACATTTAAGTATTTATTTCAAAATAATAATATATACATATGTAATGTATGATAACAAAAATATTACTGTATTTTACAAAATACTTGTGCACTAGTGCTAAGAGTAAGAGACTTCTACTTTTTTATTATGGACGAGTATAATTCCTTATTGAACTTGTGTTATTTTTCTACTCATTTACATTGAGGTAAAATAAAAACAAATTACACAAGACTTGGCAATTCAGGAAAAGTACGTAATTTGAGAAAGATGGAATGGCTTATAAAAGTCAAGGAAATACATTTATCACTGATAAATTGATCTTAACACAATACAAGTGTATAGATTAAGGAAAATTTGTATAAAAATGTTTCAGTAAAAAACCAATATTAAAAATAAGAACCAAATGGAGAAGTTTTAGAACATATTACTGTACATTCAAACAAAAAGTAGTCATTGAATAATTTGTTTCTAAAATAATAAGCAAGAAGGCTAAGCCAAAAATACTAGCACAACCAAAATGGGCTGTACTTAAATTACTGGAAACTATGCATTTATTGGTTATTGTGTAGGCATGGTAATATGAGAAACGAATGTTCATAAGCACTTACACACCTTTACCAACACTAAATCATGACCACCCAGGAGGTTAACTAATATCCAACTACTTAACAAGTTTATTGGATCGGATACAACTTTGTACAGAGCCACCATTCTACTGTAAAGAAGCTGATAAATTCCACCCTACCATGTTCTTGGAGCTGGGACTCAAATAGACTCTGTAGGAAACGTCCACTTATTGGATCAGCATGGACTTTCTACAAAGTCATAACATAAAGATTTTATAATATTTTAGACAATTGTCACTGAAACCATTATCCTGTCAATGTGTTGATAAATCATAACCTACTGTGTTTTCAAAGCAGGAAAAGTTTTGGGAATTGCACCTCATGAGCTTATTTGGTATTGACGGTGTCAAACTAAGTAAGGAGCGGCAATTCATTACTTTATGTTCGGCAGGTTTCCACTACAGCTGCTAACCATAGAATAAACATAGGAAAACTCTCAGGAATTTTACTTTGGAACTTAGTGATTCACACTGAAAAAGACAGTACAATATTCATTTTGTTTCATCTAGCTTCTATCATTAAAATTGCTACAGAAAATAAGTGTGATAAGTATAAGCTCTGACCACAAGTTCTTTGAGACTTTGTGATCAATACTATACACTTCATTTTACACTTTGCAACCTTTATTTTTGTCATACTTTGGTTACTTGTCTTACAACCTGGAAAATCAAGTATAATGTTACAGTAGAAAAAATGACAGATAAGTGTTTGATATTTAATTATGAGTTTTTATATTTTTTATTTCTTTTCTTTATGTATTATTATAAAAGTAACTAAAATGTAAAAAAATAGAAAGTTGTTGGGCAAGATAAGGAAAAAAATCTTCATGGGATATACTAGCAAGCAGCTTGTGCATAATGCTACTCGATACGGTAACATGTACCATGTAATTTTCAAATTGTGTCAGGGTATTTCTAGTCAAACACATTCAAAATTTAATAAAACAAAAATTAATAAATATAAATAGATGTATACTTTTACGACAATTAAACTATTTAGAATAAACATTTGTGGTTTCCTATTACAAAATGCAGTCATTCCAGAACAAAAGAAAGGGTAATTTAAATTTATTTCCTAATTTTTATGATGGTTACAGGATTGGTCAAATCTGCTAACACCAGATAGAGTTAGGGTACAGAAAATTGAAACATATTTAGGAGGTTTTAGAGATTACACAAATGAAATATGAGATGAAGAGAAGTATTTTCAATCTTAACAAGAAAATCACTTTGCACTCGAACTAGTAAAACAAAAAAGACTCGATATATTCAAAGACAAATCTTTTCTTAGTTTATTAAAATACTCCACTAAAAATTTGATTTTTTTTATATGTAAAAGACCAGTAATGTTTACTGGAAGTCTGCCAAATTTTGTGAAGATGCACATACTATATTAAAAGTTACTAGTATCAAAACTAGAACAATTTTAAATGATAAAAAGTGGTAATGTGGTCGGTCCATTTGATCAAACCCATGTGGAAACAGATAAGCTCTTACATACAGTGAAAGTAATTACTGTAAAATGTGAAGGAAAGATAAAACAGTGGATTTTTTTAATGTTATTGATCAGAAAGTTTCCTTTTATACATCCAACAAGTACTAACTTATATCATTTTCTTTATATTTGTTATTTGTCATGACTAGTGAAACAGTTATATAGCTACAAAACTAGTAAGAAACGGAGATGAACAGTAAAAGCAATGACTGGTAGACACAACTTGCAGTTGGACGATATGCTGATATTGATATAGGCAATACTTTTCCAATAACTAAGGAGCTTTTATGCTTGTATGTGTTGTTTCAGTAACAATAAGATTACTAGTACACACATTCAAAAAAGGTTTTACACCATCTGAATAGTTTACCATCTCAGAAATCTTAGCCTACTGTACTCATTAAGTCCAGGTGTAGAATTTATACTTTTGTTTTCCCTTCCGAAAAGATAAATATATACAGTTGGCAGAACATGGAAACGCGCTATGTCGACAGCCATCTTTAATTATCAGAGTCGCAATTTAAAATGTGAAATAATCTCATGATCGATTTTTAAGCTTGGTTTCATTTCAAAGTAAATACAAGTAATTTTATCAGATTTATATGTTACTCTTGAGTCAAAATAGACCAAAACCTATTTTGTGCAAGGGAATTCAATTTTCTTACTTGATTTCCTGAAATCATGTTTTTCAAAGGAAAATCATTGAAATGTGAGAGGATGGGAACAATAAAAAATACTTTCCCACAAGGGAAATAAACTTTTTTGGAACATTTCACCCATTGTAGCCCTAAAATATCCTTATCTGATGTCTTCTTATTGAAGAATATTCTTATAGATTTTAATCCTTTCACCCTGGTATCCTTTACTGCACATGACACAAGGTTTTAGTGTCTTACATTTAAAATTTTATTAAACTTCTTTTGTTTATGTTATACCAATTAGTATAGTATAAAATCTTAGCTAATAACCCATATTTTAATAGTATTAAAGTTATAAGTCCTTAGTTTTATAAGGCAATATTTTGAAAAAATCCTGAATTTCCCCTAGTGCGACACACGTGACACATTTACTCTATGTACCTTCTCTATTTTATCCACCACCCCTTCTAAAAGTATGAAATTAAATGAATTACTTGCTATAAAATGTCAGACAAACAATTTTTATGGCCTTCAATTTTGTTTGGTTACAGAGCTATCAAATAGAAAATCAGACCCCTCCTGCCTCACCCACCTGTCACATCCTCTTTCAGGATATTGTTAATAATTCTCTCTCTCTTACATTTAATTATAATTATCTATAACCAACAGAAAGTCAAGATTTTCATCTATAAAATGACGTATTGTATAACTTTGTGTTCTGAACAGATAATCATCAGTTTCACATGTAGTACAGGCTTGTTCCCACAGAAAATGTAATGACTAGCTTGGATGAATTTGTAATGGCTCTTGTTGTATAGTTACAAAGCCAGAAAAATTCTGAGAATTATGGAACATTGTCTACTTTTTGCATGTTATTAGTCTGTGTTCTTTGGTGCATTACTTAATTAAGTAAAAATTATTTAATGCACTACTACCAATATTATAAAAAAGTAAGGTAAAGTGTCATTAGTAGTCGAGAGACAAAAAAAAAACAAACTACTACTACTACTCAGGTGAGTACTTTATTTCTTGTTTTTTTATACTTATTCTTTATTTATTATTATAAAAGTAACTAATATGTAAAATTAGAGATATCTTTAGGTTAGATTAGGTATACTAAACAATAATAATAATATAATAAAAATGTTTCATGAGGCACACACTTGACCAGCTTGGAGTAATGTAATTTGATAGCGTAACATGACCTCCATGTTCCACCAAGTGATTTACAACTTATAATGGCATGAATAGTAATTGGACATGGTTCAAAAAGCAATAAAACAATAAAATTTAATTATAAATAGATGTATACTGTTACAGGTTTAAAGCTACTTAGGATAAACAAATTTAGTTTCATGCTACATTTGAAGTCATTTTAGAAACAAAAAGAGGGTAATCTAGATTTATTTCAATATTTTTTTTGGTGGTTACAAGGTCAGTCAAATTGACCAACCTTGTACAGAGTTAAGGTAGAGAAAATAACAGATAAAATATAAAGGTTTACTGAAAAAAAACCTTTGAAGTGTATTTAGGAGGTTTTAGAGATTACACAAATGAAATTTGAAATTTTTGAGATGAAGTATTTTTAATCTTAATATGAAAATCACCTTGCACATGGACTATTCAAAACAAATACTCGATATATTCAGGGACGAATCTTTTTTTTAGTTTATTAAAAATACTTCACTAAAAAAATATGATTTTTTGTATGTGAAAGGCTTATAATGTTTACTAAAAGACTGCCAAATTTCATGAAGATATACACACTATATCAAAAGTTGGTAGTATCAAATCTATAAAGACTTTATCCGAGTACAAAAAGGTCACACACTCAGTCAAATCCACCAAGCCAGTGTTGAAAGAGTTAAACAGATGTAACACAAAAAGATGGTCATGAACAAAAACATAGTCAAAAGAAACTATAAAAAATTCCTTGCTCCTGAGCTTCTTAAACTTTGTATATTACAATCCTCTGTTGTCAACTATGACATCTTCTGCTAGTCACTTTCTTAGAAACCATAAATTACTGCTTACCACACTTTATTTATTTTACATAGACATAAAATTTTTAGCCATTTGTTCTATCTGGTTTAAAGGCTAAGAGTTATTAGTTATTGCCAAAATTACTTGATGTGACATCACAAAGGTCAGTAGACTATATATATATATAGGGATGGCCAAGGTACTCAATAGGTATAACACAAATATGCACTCTAGAAAAGTCAACAGTGACAGAGAGTTTTACTTTAAAAGATTATTGCCACTCACTTTTATTTGTTTCTCTACCCAACAAGCCCAAAAACAAGGCAAGAAACCATTGCTAAGATACCAAACCAGAGTGTGACCAACCCAACAAATTGTGCATCTTTCTTCTTTTTGTTTCATTCGAGATACCTTTACAACTACTTTATCACTAATATCAGTTTAAACGTAAATTGACTCTGTGTTTCTGGGCAGTGCACGATGTCATCACCGTATCATCCCTATATTCTTATGTGCATTTTTTTTTGGCATTGCCAGCCCTACATTATTTTACATATATAAAATGTTTTTTATTACTTGTAGGGCTATAGCACTAACATCATTAGCATAAAAGTAGTTATGTGACAAAGAAAATATGGAAAAATCTATTTCTACAGAATGACAATTTCTGGGTGAATATAAATGTATACTTTGAAATGGTCAGAAAAATTATAAAAAAAATGGTAAGTGCATCGGAGCTACTTGAAAATCAATCTTCAAATATTTTTTTATTTTTTCTTTGTAAATTATACTAGATAAATTTTGCAAAGTTACAAAATGTTGATTTGTAAATATTTTTGAGTGAACAAATTGTTGAAATAGAGTTAGATTTACTACTTACACTTAAATTTTTAAGTTTGATATTAAGTGTGCATTCAACACTGGAGAGCAACTCACCAGTCATAATAGTTGCAAATACACTGTAAAAAAAAAAATCATACTGTTTACCATATATGGCCTCAACTTGACGAACTCTGTCCATATTTTGTAAAACTGACAAGCCCTTGTCATACTGAGACTCTCTGTCATTGCAAGACCTTCCATGTTCTTCATAGAAATGGACCGTGTCTTCTTCATCCAAAAGGAATAGGCATTTGTTTTTGAAGTACAGCTTCTATACACACACACAAACACAAAACATTTATATATATTAAATTATTCCATTACAAACAATAAAATGTCTTGAACCAACTTTTTTCTTAAAAAATTCTTCAAACAGAAATTTATATTAAATAGTTTGATGTCCATTTCTACCAATTTCATGAGCCTGTTTTGTTTTTTAAATCACTGAGATCTATTTCCTTTGTAATATCACATATTTTTCATAGCTCTTAAATGTTTTGTTTTAGTAATTCTTATCAAAACAGAAATATTCTATTTTATTTCTTCATTTATTTAGCTTGCTTTACAATTAGTGTGTTGAACTTGCTATGACGAAGAAAGATTACTAAACATTGAACACAAGAACAACTCATCATAGCAAAAAGTCATATGGCTTTTCCTAAAACAATGCATATAAGCTCATTCAATTTAAAATATGGTACTACCAAAAACACTAAAAATATCAAGTAGGCTCAAAGGAGTTAGAAAATGATTCATGAGTGTAAACTAGTTCTCACTTTCTGTATTGTTAGATATTTTGCACTGAAGCTTGTTTTCCAAGCAGCATATGATTGTTAGATTAAGTAATATACCCATGTAAGAGAAAATGAAAACTAATCAGCTTAAGTTACAAAATATTTATATAAAAATAAATTGAGAAGAAGGTAAAAATTCGAATACAATATGAAGTATGAAGATGCAGAGAAGACACGAATGAGGTTATCTTTCAAGATTCATTCACTCCCTTTAAGGAAAAGATCTGACTTGAATATCTTTGAAAGAACTTCTTGTATCTGTAATTTCAAAAATAAATTATCTTACAGATTTCATATTTTCAGCACTAAATTTTCTAATGATATTTCTCCCTTTTGAAGAGTTTGAAGACTATATTATCAACAAGTCACAAAATATGAATGACAACACTGCATGCAAAATCTGTTTTTACCTTATAACTTCAGTTTCAAAGTCTCTTTTATAAATATAGGCAAATGGTAATTTAAAATAATTGTCATCAGTTAACTAACTAGTGTAGCAGGAGTCAAAAAACCATCTTTTGTTAACCCTATCGTGACAAGTATTCTTTACTGCACATGATACAAGGTTTTAGTGTCTTACATTCAAAACTTTATTATACTACGTCTTGTTTATGTATACCAATTAGACTAGCATAAAATCTTAGCTAATAATCTATATTTTAACAATATATAAGGTATAAATTCTTAATTTTATAAGGCAATATTTTAAAAAATCCTGAATTTCTCCTAGTGTGACATACGTGACACATTTTCTCTAGGTATCTTCTTTTCTCTATCTACCATCAAAAATTACAAAATGTAAATTACTCACTATAAATTTGTCATTGCTCAGACAAACCATAATTTTTATAGCCTTCAATTTTGTTTGGTTAAAGAGCTATCAAATAGAAAATTAGACCCCTATTGCCACACCCACCTGTCAAATCCTCTCTTTCAGGATTTGTTAATAGTTCTCTTTTACGTTTACTTATATATTACCTATAACCAATAGAAAGCCAAGGTTTTCATCTATGAAATGATGTATTTTATAACATTGTGTTTTGAACAGAATATCGACAATTTCACTCAGAGTACAAGTTTCGTTCCTGTGGGAATGTTAATGACTAGCTTGGATAAATTTGTAACGGCTCTTGTCGCATAGTTAGAAAGCCAGAAAAATTTTGAGAGCTCGGAAAAATTGTCTGCTTTTTACATGTTATTATTCTATGTTCTTTGGTGCATTATTTAATTAAATAAAAATGATTTAGTGAAAGACTGTGAAATTTTGTGAAGATATACACACTATATTGAGAGTCAGAAGTATTAAATCTATAAAGACTTTAAAGGAGTAAAAAGAGGTCACATGGTTGATCAAATTGACATGTTGAGAGAGTTAAACAGAGTATTTTTATGACACTAGGTATTCCCCTCATTATGTGCTCAAAGAAAATGCTGGCAACAACTTTAACGCTATGTGCACAGGTGAAGGTAAAAATTCATGTGCCAAAACTTTTCACAGAATGCTATTTAAACATGCTATTATGCATTTGATGTCAGAATTATAAACTACTGATTTAGCAAAGGTTCTTTGTAGAAAAGAGTAGATACTAGATCTAACATACAGGGAGACTTAAAAAAATCTGTAAATATGAAACGTGTACAGACCAATGTTGGCAACTCACAGACATACCTTAATTACAAACACCCCTGTAAGATATCTGATTTTTTTGTGCACAACAGACTTACATTTTACAAAAAGCTTGCCACATTTTGTGAAGATACACATAGTAAGATCAGAATTATAGTCAATATTTTTTCCAAAATAGAAGGTTGGTCCACTGAATAAATTCTGTGAACATTCAATTATGGTAGAAACACCTTGTGGTCTAATACTATCAAATTTTATATGTTATTAAGTTATTGTGAAATTTTTACATTCATTTTTAAAACTGTCTTGTTCATTTAGAATGACGAAATGGATGGAAACTGCCTGTTGTAGAAACATGAGTGTATAGGATGACTTTTTGAAAGCCTTCTGCCTTTCGTCTTCAGGTGTGCAAGGTGTAGTCAGTCTCTATAGTATTCTGGTGGATTGTGGAGAGTGCGTCATGATTGGTTGGTTTATCCATGTTTCAGATTGGTGAAGAGAGTTCCTGTAGATTCATCAAATGGTAACCACAGGTTACTCACCTCTAATCCAGAATCTCTGTTTTAACTGTGTTAATGTAAAATGATTCTTTAGTTTTTCTTGTCTTCCAAAATTTGTCTGCATTGCAGAACACACAATGTCAACTGGACACAAAATAAAATGAGAAAAAACTAGAATCATCAGCACAGACAAAAAGAGCAGTTACAAATTCATCCTAGCTAGTCTTTGTGTTTCAGTGGGAATGAAGCTTATACTGAAAGAGAAATTAACATTTTTCTATACATAAAACAATGTTATATAATATGTCATTTGGTAGATGAAAATCTTGGCTTTCTATTGTTTAAAAATAATATAATATTAAATGTAAGAGAGAACTATAGACAAATCCTGAAACAGAGGATGTGACAGGTGAGTGCAACAAGAGGGGCATGATTTTCTATTTGATGGCTCTGTAACGAAACAAAATTGAAGGTTATAAATATTATGGTTTGTGTGAGCAATGAAGATTTTATAGTGAGTAATTTACATTTAATTTAGTACTTATTGGAAAGATGGTGGATAAAATAGATCCAATATGGATCCACTAACAGAACCCAAAATGAAGTGGTCTGAATGATGGAAAGGTTCTGGTGAATCCGACAAATGGGAGAGTAGGCATACAATTAACCCAAGCTGTTTTCTGAGGACAAACTGGGTATGAAAAACAGTCAGCCTGTCATCCATATAATGGTGAATACAAAGGCCCTATCATTGAAGAAGATGGGCAACTGCCAAGACCACCAAAAAAAAACGTATGGAGCTGAGGCAGGTCCAAACAGAAGAGTCTGGAACTAAAACATACACCCCGATGGACAAAGTGAAGGTAATGTCGAGATGCAAAAGAGATTGGAATGTGTATGCCTCAGACACATCAACCTTTGTCATCCATAGACCAGGAGTGAGAACCAAATAAAGGGTGAGATAAGACTCCATGGGGAAATATGAGAGGACCAAGAAGTGGTTCAGAGCTGAGAGAGATTGAAATTGGGTGCCAGTCCACTTTCTTCTTGGGGACAACAAACAGACAGGAATAAAAACATGGATGAGAAGGATCTCCCCATTCAATAGCACCCTTGTGAAGTAATTCCTAAACCGCATCCAAAATATGCTGGCAGGCAACAAGATCCTGAGAAGGAGAAAAGGGGATGAGGAAACAATGGAGGAAAATGAGGACCAGACTCTCTGAAACCACCTTCGGAACCCAAGGGTCCATGGCAAAGTCTTTCCAAATGTAGGAAAATCTGAGGAGTCTGACCCCCACAGTACTCGAATCCACAACATGGTCACCAAGACCACTGGTAGTCCTGAAGAAGGTGCTCCAAGAACTGACAGAAAATCTCAGGAATACGAGAAGCTGGAATCAGCAAGGCAATGGAAGGAGGAGGGTGAGACACCGAAACAGGTACAGGAAGGGTGTGGGATAGACAAGAAGCCAAGGAAGAAAGGCAGGTATGCAATCGGCTGAATCAACTCTGGACTCCATAGAGTTGGATGTCCCCTAAAACCTCCTGGCAGAGAAATGGTGCAATACACAAATCACAAAAAGAGGAGGGAGGCAAACATATCCAAGAAAAAATGGCATTCTGACCCAAAAGATCCCAACAACAAATCAAACACATTTGCAAAGCAAATGTGGTAGAGGAAAAACGTGCTGATGAGTCTCCACCAAAAACTCCCTGAGGGAGTGATGAATAGCTTCAGATAACAGGTGTAGGGAGGACAAGAAACAGAAAAGGGCAGACAGGGTGAGACAAATACAATATAACTGGGGCTGGGAAAGGAAACCAAAGCATAGGAAGTAGGGCGAAACAGACTGTCCAAATCCTCATCATCACATTCAGGCAAACCTTTGCATGGTATGTGAAGACATCATCAGGTGACTCAGAAGACTGCATAAAAGTAGCTAACTCCCTACAAACCAAAGCCTTAACTTCCTCAGTATATAAAGCTTTCTCAGATATCATTGAAGTTCTAATTGTATGGTTAAAGAAAAAAATATTCATGACCTAATATCAACAGTAAACTTGATCATTTAATAAAATGTTAAGTCTGAAGACATGAATAAAAAAAACACGTCCTACAACAGTGAGACTGCCAATCGAGAAGTGATTACAGACTGTACAAAAGAGAGCATTCATGACAATGGGAGTTGAGTCGCACTCCTATTGGTGGACGGTTGCTGCATGATGGATACATGAGAGTAGGTGGGAGTATCAAGGCTAGTGCAAAGCAAACATGAATGCATATAGAGGATAATGTAAGTTGAGAAAAGCTATTTGTGAGAAGAGGTAAGATATCATATTGGAATTTATATTTCTGTCCCCTAGTCTTACCATTGTTACCATTAAATATGAAAAAAAGGTGAAGCATCAACACCATCAATTCCCTTAACAATCTTATTAAACACCTCAATAATATCCCAATAATATCTCTTTTTTTCAAAGAGAAAACAAGTTCAGAAATTTTAACCCATCCTCATATGACAACCTTTTCATCCCAGATATCATATCAATAGCCCTCCTCTGAATCGTTTCCAACAATTTGTCATTTCTAAGGTAAGGAGCCCAAAACTGATGACAGTATTCCAAATATGGACTAACCAATGACCTGTATAATAATGACATTACAACCAATTTAGACTTGTATTCAATATTTCTGTAAATACAATCTTAAACCCTTTTGCCTTGTAATAGCAACAACCCATTGCATGGATGGCTCCACAGACTGAAGAACCCACACACCAAGTTTCTTTTCTTCCATAACACTGTTAAGGTTATTTACATCAAACTTGTACTTATAAATCAAATTGTGAAATCCCACATGCATTACCTTGCATTTATTATAATTGAAAGCCATCTGCCACTTATCTGCCTAACTCAACAAATAATTTAAATCCTTTTGCAAAGCAGCAGCATCCTCCTCACAGCCAGCAATACCCAAAAGTTTAATGTCATCAGCAAATTTAAAAACTGTATTCACCATACCTTCATCTATATAACTGATGACAATAAAAAAAAGCAATGGTCCTAAAACAGAGCCCCTGTAATTCCTGTTTTATACAACGTTGAAAATCAATATACCGACTTCAAATATAAAATATTAAAGGTTAACTTTTTTAATACTAGGTTAATGATGTAAATTACATCACAACAACCATATATTGTACGATAGCAATAGACCTAGAAAACAAAGAAAATAACCAATGAAAAATTAAACAGAAATATATGAATGCTATAAAACTAAGATCAGATCTTAGATATACAAGTGCACAAAACTAAATTGACACCAAGCAAACAAATCCAGTTTGATTGAACTCCATTTAAAACAACCATTGCTTTTTTTTCACCTATCCAGGGTTTTATTCAATGAGCCAACTTATCTCCCACATCTATAGAGATAGCTTTTTTAATAAGCTTTCAGGTGGCACCTTGTCAAATGCTTTGTGAAAATCAAGTACACCAAACCCACACATGTACCATCACCTACATATACAGAAACCTTTTCAAAAAATGTCAAAGATTAGTAAGGCAAGATTTTCCCCTAGTGAATCCATGCTGACTTTACAACATTATTTTAAACTCTGTTAAATGATTTTGCAAAGAATCTTTCATCAGATTTCAAACATTTTTCTCAAAACTGATGGAGGACTAATAGGCCTATAATTACTAAGACAATTTTTATCTCCTCCCTTGAAAAGAAGAGTAACATTAGCAAACTTCCAATCTTCTGGCACCTGCTTGTTATTCCAGGACTTTTTTTTTTGAATGCTCTAATATTGAAACGACACAAAGCAATGCAACATAACATGAACCCACTGTATTCTATTCCTTTTAAACAACCTATAACCCTGTAGTTCAAAGAAATTCCTGTCATCAAAATTGTCTACATTTAACCAGATTTCAGTTATTTCCATTACATTAAAATCCAACTACTGACCTACAGTTATCCATTTTATTTCTTATATTTCTGGCATAAAAATAATAAGTTTAGCCTACCTTTAAAATTACCTTTGTAACTTGTTTCCACTTTTTTTTTCATTATTCTATACCTCTCCACCATCTAATCCTAGTTTAAAATTGCCCTTAGAGTTGAGTTAATAGGCCTTCCAAACAAGTCGGCCTATTTAAATGTAAACCATCTATTGAAAAAATCTCCTTATTTCCAACAAACTGATCCCACAAATCCAACCAGCTAACCTGCTATTTCTTACATAGTAACTTAAGACTAGCATTCAGCCCTAGTAACTTACTTATAATTTCATCCTTACTATTAAGTCTTAGCAGTATCACTGACAAAATTAAGTTTCTATGACATTTATCTTTGAATGCCTTTATCAATGTCCTGTACTTAACAGTTAGCTACTCTTTCCTATATAATTAGCTCCTAGGTGCACAACAAAGACTGCATCACTGTTAACATCCTTTACTAATATCACATGCTCTGTCAATTAAATCCTCTATGCCTACCTCTTAATAGCATAATCTAAGTATTTTCTTTCTATTTACACAACATACTAAAGAATCTCCTATAACAATAATCTCCTTGTATTTTTCATTCCCACCCCTATCTGCCCCTTTTGTTAGCATACAGGATCACCTACAAAAGTTGTAATATTTTCAAAACGAGACCCAAAACTCGAGTGCTTTCAAATAGTTGACTATTCTTCATCAGGAGAAGAAAGAGTAATGTTTAATGAGTGTAAAGAAGAACAATAGTCAACTATTTGAAAGCACTCGAGTTTTGGGGTCTTGTTTTGAAAATATTGCCCCTTTTGTTATCCTTCCCTCCTCAAGTTCATCATCTACACAAGCTAAAGGGTGAAATCTGTTACTTAATATAAACTATTCATTATAATTAAATCCACTGATTCTAGCCCTATTAGTACCGTTTTCAACTTCTTTAAAGTTTATTTATTTCCTCTTTAAATCTTGCTGCCACTTTCCATACATACAAAGTTCAATAAAAACTATGAAACTTCAAACCTTCACAGATGTATTAGTGCCAACACAGAAAGTGATGTCTCAGACAGCTTCTAATTGGATATTACTGAATGAAACTACTGTTACACGACTTAACATAAATCTGTAATGGTTTTTATAGCATTTTTTAAGAGTTGTATGATTCAAAAAGTCATAGAAAAACTCCTTCTACAGAAATGTGTTTACAATATACATTAAATTTTTATTTTCTTTTGGGAGGTAACTCCTTCAAAATATCAAATCTGGCTTTTTCCCTAAGGGTGTTGAACAAAAACTGAAAACTTAACTTATTCCTCTTACACTAGAGCAATCTATTCTGATTTTGACTCAAACAGTTTATATATATATATATATATAAAAATCAAAGCTCAAGTTACACACCACATTCCAAATGTTAAAATAAAATTACAATGACATTCTTAAGGCAAAAGGTGCAAGTTCTTACAGATCCTCTATTATGATAATTTTCAATTCACTTTGCATTTTTCTTAAATGTTAACAAATATAAAAAATGTGTACTAATATTTATAAATTATTTTTATATCAGTTTCTAGACAACATTAAAAAAAACATGGAAAGTTTAATTAATATTGTAAACATCATCTACTTATTACCCATAAAATGAATTTAAGATTGATTAGAAAGTCAAAACTAAATGATTTCCTTCATTAACTATATTAGTATTCAGATAAAAAGAGTAAGCACACTCTCTGTGATACCAACCATACATTCTGTACACTTGCACAATTTCTTTCTCCACCCATCAGTCCAGAATGTTGGGCCAACTGAAGGTACGTTGTATTTTGGTAGTGTGCGGAGTAAACAACAGATGATCTCGCCCTTAATTAAAATAATTTAATTTTAGAAAAGATACACCAATTAAAGACAAGCATGTTGATAATGGTTGAAACTTACAGTGAAAACTTCTTATTAATGTAATGTGTGTCTGAAGTTAAACCCTGTGTATTATCATTATAAATAGCAGAGTAGCAACATTGGAATACACTGCTACCTGCGCATTATTATGAAAGTTAAAGTGAAACATGTTTGTACAGTAAAAATAAAGAACTTCATATGTTGTTTCTAGCTGATCATGCAAAACAAATCAATCCATTAAAAAGTAATAAATATCTTTATAAGTAATTTCTACTAGATGTTGTAAAACAAACCCAATTAATTACAAGTCATAAAGGTCTATGTACATATATAGTTTCTACCTGATGTTGTAAAACAAACCCAATTAATTACAAGTCATAAAGGTCTATGTACATATATAGTTTCTACCTGATGTTGTAAAACAAATCCAAACACTGACAAGTAATAAAGACATTTATAACTAATTTCTACCTGATGTTGTAAAACAAACCCAATCAATGGCAAGTAAAGATTTTTACATGTAATTTCTACTAGATGTTGTAAAATAAAACCAATTAATTACAAGTCATAAAGGTATATATATAGTTTCTACTTGATATTTTAAAACCAATCCAACCAATGACATGTAATAAAGGACTTTATATGTAGTTTCTACCTGATATTGTTAAACCAACCCAACCACTGACAAGTAATATCTTATGTAGTTTCAACTTGATATTGTGAAACAAACTCAACTACTAACAAGTAGTAAAGATCTTTATACGTTATTGTAATTTCTACTTGATATTGTCAAACAAACCCAACTACTGACAAGAAATAAAGATATTTATATGTAGTTTCTACCTGATGTTGTAAAACAAACCCACTGACAAGTAATAAAGTATTATGTAATTTGTACCTGATGTTGTAAAACAAACCCAAACTCTGACAAATAATACATTCTTACACAGTTTCTATCTGATATTCTGAAACAAACCCAAAGAAGTAATAAAGACCTTTATATGCAGTTTTTACCCAATTTTGTGAAATAAACATAACAAGTAATAAATATCTTTATAAGTAGTTTCTACCTGATGTTGTGAAATAAACCCAGCCACTGACAAGTAATAAATATCTTTAAATGTAATTTATACCTGATGTTATAAGACAAACCCTAATACTGACAGAACCGCGATTAACTCTCTCCACACAGACTCAGTCAATTTGACTGACAATGTGACCTTTTTGTACTTGTATAGTCTTTGTAGATTTGATACAACTAACTTTTATAATTGTGTGTATATCTTCACAAAACTTGACAGTCTTTCAGTAAACACATAACAAAATATCATATTTTTTAGTGAAGTGTTTTTTTAATAAAATGAAACAAGATTTGTCCTTGAACATAGAGTATTTGTTTTGAATAGCCTGTGTGCAAAGTGATTTTCATTTTAACATTAAAAATACTTCATCTCAAAAACCTCCTAATTACATTTCAAATGTTTGTTTTCAGTAAAACTTTATATTTTATCTGGTATTTTCTTTATACAAGGTTGGTCTATTTGGCTGAAATTTGACCAAAAAAAAAAATTTAAATTACCCTTCTTTTCTTTCTAGAATGATTTCAAATTGTAACACGAAACTACATTTGTTTATCCTAAGTAGCTTTAAACTCGTGACAGTATACATCTATTTATAATCAAATTTTATTGTTTTATTGCCCTATGAACTGTGTCTAAATACTATTCACGCCATTATAAGTTGCAAATCACTTGGAGAACATGGAGGTCAGATTACTCTATCGAATTACCTTACCCTCGAGCTCTTCGCACTTGTACCTCACGAAACACTTTTATTATATTATTATAATTTATTTTACCTAATCTAACCTAAAGAGATCCCTAATTTCACATTTTAGTTACTTTTATAATAATAAATAAAGAATAAACATGAAAAGATATATATAGTACTTACCCGAGTATTCTTTTTTTCTGCTGTCGACTGTCGATCACACTTAACACTACTTTTTTTATACTAATGGTAGTAATGCACTAAATCATTTTTATTTAATCAAATAATGCACCAAAGAATATAGAATAATAACATGTAAAAATTAGACAATTTCCCTTAACTGTTATAATTTTTTTGCTATTCTAACTGTGACAAGAGCTGTTACAAATTCATCCAAACTAGTCGTTATCTTTCCCGTGGGAATGAAGCTTTTACTAACAGTGAAATTAACCATTCTCCATTCAGAAAACAATGTAATATAATACCTCATTTGATAGATGAAAACCTTGGCTTTCTATTGGTTATACATAATATAGAATTAAATATAGAGAGAACTATTAACAAATCCCGAAAGAGAGGTTGTGACAGGTGGGTGTAGCAATAGGGGTCTGATTTTCTATTTGATAGCTCTGTAACCAAATAAAATTGAAGGTTATAAATCTTATGGTTTGTCTGAGAAATGACGATTTTATAGTGAGTAATTTACATTTAATTTTGTACTTATTGGAGGGATGGTGAATAAAATGGAGAAGAGGAGATGCCTGGAGAAAATGTGTCACACTAGGGAAGTTCAAGATTTTTTAAAATATTGCCTTATAAAATTAAGTACTTAAAACTTGTATACTATTAAGATATGGATTACTAGCTAAGATTTTATGCTATACTAATTGGTATAACATAAACAAAAAGTTGATTAATAAAATTTCAAATGTAGGTCACTAAAACTTTGTGACATGCACAGTAAACGATGCCCATGATGACAGGGTTAATGTTGAGGATCTACTACGATAGATATTTACATGCAGTTTCTACCTGATATTGTAAAACAAACCCAACCATTGACACATAATAAATACCTTTAGGTGTAGTTTCTACTTAATGTGGCGAAACAAACCCACACAGTGAAAATAATAGATTTTTACATGTAGTTTCTACCTAGGTTGTGAAAAACTCCAACCACTAAAAAAGTAATAAAGATCTTTTTATGTAGATCTGCTTGATGTTGTGAAATAAATCTAACTAATAACAAGTAATAAAGACCCTTGTATGTAGTTCCTGCCTAATGTTGTAAAATAAACCCAACTGCTAACATGTAATATAGATATTTATATGTAGTTTCTACTTGATTTTATGAGACAAACCCATCCACTGACAAGTAGTAAAGATCTTTATATGTACTTTCTACCTTTTTACAAACCCAAACAAGTAACGAAGATTTTTACATGCAGGTTCTACTTGATGTTGTGAAACAAACCCAACCACTGACAAGTACTAATGACCTTTATATGTAGTTTCTACCAATGTTGTGAAACAAACCCAACCACTGAAATGCCAAAAAGATTCTTACATTTAGTTTCTATCTGATGTTGTAAAACAAACCCAACCACTGACTAGTAATAAAGATTTTTACTTGTAGTTTCTACCAATGTTGTAAAACAAACCCAACCACTGACTAGTAATAAAGTTTTTTACATGTAGTTTCTACAAGTTACTCAGTCAAGTAGAAAATTAACCACATCATTTTTTTCCAATACCATCTTAAAAACTTTGATACTAATTTTATATATGAAGACTTACAAATCAATTAAAATGTATAGTATTTTTCTATTTTATGCAAGATTGGGCCTAACTTACAATAACATACGTTTATCACAGCAACAAATTCATGTACTATTACCTGTCCAAAACCATTTACAATAATTTCATAAAATAAAGATGGATGATGAAATGAACTAAGTTTTACTAAAGATTTAATTTAACCACAGAATTATTAGTAAGGCACACATAACCCATGGTTTATTAAAAACACATCTTTCTAAACTATATATGCATCAAATGTTTGTGGATTTATGAGTTTGTTGATTACAGTATTCCTATTAACATGTCACAATAAAGCTTTTGTTTTAACAATTCATCTATTTTTATGCTCAGTTATTCAAACTGAGTATTGCAACAGTACTAATATGTAAAATCATACAATTAATCAACATGATAGAATTTGTAGACCCCCAGCACTAGTGAAAAATGGAAAAACATGTCAGTAATTTTAGGGTTAATACGTCTTCACAATAGGTCTCTTTAATCAGTTCCACAATAAATTGTAATTCTTTATGTTCTTCACGTTAACTATTGTAATATCATTGATTGTAGAATGCTCTTTTGAATCTAAGAAAATGCAACAAAAACACTGTATACCTTCTCATCTTCTTGACATTTCTGCGTATCATTTTCAACAGAAACTGCATCTTTAATTGAAGCACAATGGCTTTCTTTTGAAGTATCTATATTTTGACCAGGAGTAACTCTATTCTCCATTTTCATATGTTGGCTGTCAAATGTTTCAGACTTAATTGTGATTTCTCTGACATCATGATCTGTGAAAGCTTTTGATGTATCTTTATCACCACCTTCAACATCCACATTTTCATCTGTTTTTCCCTCTTTCAATTTTAAACCTACTAAAGATTTGAAATATAGATGTAATATCATCCAGTATTAAAACTGCAAACAATACAAAACATTATAATTTCTAGAGGCCCTGCAAATATTCTACACACTATTTAATTTTTTTTCTCAGTAGTAAATCACACTAATAATTATCCTACATAACATTTTAATTTAATTCTCTTAGTCTGAATTTAATAATGTGAATAGACATACTCAGAATTAAAACAAATCCATTCCACTAACAGTAATTGTAAAAAACGTTTATTTTGTGAAAATAATACCCAATTATTCTATTGTGTGTATATATATTTTTATTATTAAAAAAAAATCTTTCCTTGAATGTGATTGGGTAGCAATAAATAACCAATCAGACCCATTATATTTTCTCCTTTTTTAAGTATGATAATCCTCAATGAACAAGAGCCTTTAAAATAATAAGAAAACTAAAAGGAATCCCCATTTATATTAAAAAGTACTAATTTGACGGTTAAATGTAATGATCAAAATCATCTAACCCATTCAGTGCAGCTGCGACATATATGTCCCAGCCACTGCTTGTTACAGTATCATCCATGACAAAAAAAATCATCTAGTAAAGAAGTCATACAGTACAAAATGACATTGTAACCACAAGTCTATTAAAAAGCTTCATATCAATAATCAATGTTAATGTAGTAATTCTTTATTTTATTCTAACTGTCTTCGTAAACCACCTGTAAAAAACATCATTCAGTGAATTTGTACCTCTAAATAATGGGAAAAGTCAAGACTATAAAAAATATAAAATAATTATGACAAATCCAGTAAGAACTTTTATAAAAAAAAAATTAACAAAATATAGTTGAAAAAGTAGTGCAAAATTTTTTTTATGTATTATGGATTTGCTAAATGCAGTTACTATGCATTACAGATGTAACTAAAAATCAATGGTATTAACCCAAATTCTAGCGTTGTAAGTTCACAGACATACCGCTGTGCCACTAGGGACTGGGGGAGTGGATGAAGCCCTCAAATACTCCATAATTATATAGAATGTTTATTTGTAAACTTTTGAAAGTTATTTCCTAACCTTTTATGGTTTTTCTTTTTGTCATAATACCTAAATATTTGTTACAACTGATTACAGTAAATTAATAAATTAACAGAGACTGTTAAATACTTGGTATAATGATAAAACATATTATAGCAATGTTAGTAATAAAATTACAATTTCAAGTACTATCAACAGGTAGGTTTTTCAGATTATTTAATAAAAATAATGCCTAGTCCAGTCCACATAGCAATAACAAATTAGTATATTTCTTCTGTAATGTTTCTACAAGCTGCTCATTTTGACACTACTTGTAGGCCTAATTTACAAACAATGTTGCAACAGAAATTCCAAATAACTAACTTCCTTGCTTATGATCAACTAACTCAGACATGATAACTCATCCTACTAACACCCACTGATTAGCAACTTCTCATAGTATACAACTATATTATAACATTGATAACACAGCTTACAACAATATGCATTATTTAAAATTGTAGGGACATTATCAATAACAACCTGAGATGTCAGTGAATTACAAAAATATCTACTATAAAGTTGTTTATCACAGTACTAAACAATTCTAGAGTTGAGAAACTAATCTAATAATGTAATATATATTACATAATATTATCCAATTCTGGTAAAAATGTTTTATATAATTGAGAATATTACAAGATTACCTGCAACCAGGACACTGGCATTGAAATACTGCAGCATAAATTGTTGGTAATGTTCTTTCTTTTCTAAAATTTACTAAGTGATGACAGGAGCATAATAGAAGGAAAGATCACAAAAGTGAATCAAGACTATCCCTATTTGGAACACACACACACACTACATCACTTATTGACTGGTATTGGTAACAACTCAGGCAGCAAATAAGGAAAAAGGTCCAGGAAAACATCACATCTTTTTATTACTAATTTAAGCATTCTGTTGTTCATGCAACCAAATGTAGTAAGTTTTAAATTCAACTCTTTGAAGATTAAAAAGGAACATGAGATTTGTTTTCTTTCATTCTACGCAGCTTTAGTAGTAGTGTAGAAATGGTGAGAACCTCTTGCTGTGATGTTAGAACAGCAGAAAGGCAAAAAGCCCAAAATTCAATGGTATTTTTAAAAATATTGCATCATTTGAGATTGTAGCTGTAATGTCCATGCTCATGAATGTTATTTTCATTCTGACGCAATTAAACATGATTTTCCTAAAGAGATTTGAATTTGTTGTTGTAAAGCCAACTTTAGAAGCAGACAAAAGTCAGTTACACAGCTTACACGAGGAAGATGGGACCCATTTGTTCCTAAGAAAAGAAGTGAAATCGATGCAACAATATAAAGGGAATAAATATCTTTGACGGCTTCTTACTCAGAGAAGATGGGTCCCCACTTGTCCAAGTTTCTCATAGTAACAGTGATTTACATGATATTAAGTACACACGCACACACATATGACTAAAATAAAACAATGCATTTTTAATGTTCTTAAAAGTAAAGTTACAAAACTAAACTCCCAACTTAAAATATGATACACATACTAAACATAACTATATAATTTATCCTTTATGGAAACTAGACACTATGTAGAAACTATATGTGTAAAAATTTGATTTGGTTAAGCATTTTAAGTGAGAACAAGACAAACAGGAGTGCCATTCCACTTAAGGTTGAACAGTTTTTTCATGTATAATTAAAGATTCTTTTTGTGCATATACATATTAATTAATCATTAAAATATTTTATCATTGTGTGTACATCATTTAATCCTTTTAAAGGACATTTCTCATATTTCTTTACTATATATATATATATATATATATATATATATATATATATACACACACACACACACACACACTAACTTAAACGTTTAAATTTTAACGTTTTACTTTAGTTAGTTA